CCACCTAAATGAGTCTGTGATTCTATGTAAGCAATGACAAGAGACTGAAGGTGAAGAGAACCCAGGTTCACAGTGCTTTGCCAATGAAACTGTGTGTGTAATCAGTTACTACCACAGTCACTTCTGCCAGAAAACCGCACAGAGGAGCATAAATCTAAAACTGGGAGTCAGAAACCCCACGGAGCCATAACACAGTAACAGCCCTGTTCTCTGCACAGCACTGTGCAACTTCTCTAGCACTCAGGGTAGTTGGCACCCTGTAAGTTGGGATTTTGTTATTTGATTTTTAATTTGATTTGGGGTTTGATGCTTTACTACTTCCACCTTGAATATTTGGTTATGCAAATAAAAATCAGACTGCATAACATTATTTGTTTAAGAATACATTTCTAAACTTCTCTTAGAGATTTTAGTGGTGAAAGCATCTTGGAGTCCTCTCATCTAAAACATCTCTATTTATTATCTGTTCCCTTACGGAATGTCACAGCTTTAGGAACTCATTCCACTTCCCACTATGAAGCTATTGTGATTAAAAATAAGCCTGATGGTTCCCACAGAACAGAAGCAGTTTCAGGTGGATGCACCCTGATATGGTGCCAAGAATGAGCATGACAAGAACCTGAACTTCCCATGCCTTGCCCAATGTGAGCTGCAGAGTAACCCATGATAGATTATGTATGGTAGCAAACAAATTAAAACAAGCACTGTGCACAGAGAGGCTCATTTATCTCCTGTTCTGGACCTATCAAAGCTGCTTCATAGAGTAAATTCTTAAAGAGCTGCTGTTCATGCTTGTACTGCACAAGCACTTCTCTCATGTTCAAGGAGACTTCCAACTCTTTTCACATTGTGTCAGAACAAACCTCTTTAAACCAAGCATAACGACTCACAGAAGTCAAGGATCCTTCTGTCCTTGGAAGGACTGGTTGGATATTTTCTCCTTCTCTAACAGACATGAACATACACACAATTATTTACGATTAGGAAGACAGTCCATACTTACAATATGTCCTAATTGTAAAGTAGGTTAACTTGAGGTTTTAAACAACAATTATTTTAGCTTGCAAAATCTCTTAATCTCTCCAGTCTGTCTATATCCGTGTCTCTTTAATCTCTATTTCATAAGTCTATCACTGTACATCTAGATGTATATCTATTTAAAAAAACAGTTCTCAGATATTAACAGGCGAGGATATCATTAACTTGTCATGTGGTTGAGAACATTTCTGTCAAAACAAAGCACATCACCAGCAGAATAACAAATAGGCTCTACCAGGTTACATGCATAGAGCAGTTGGTAGAACATGGTAGGTTGTTTCTCTTCTACTTCTAAGAGCACATGATACCATTTTCTTATCACTACACAGGGGGATTTCTGATTACAAAGGAGCATATTCAGCTTTTAATCACACAGATTGGGCAGATGTGACATTTTTATCTCATTCTTCATTCTGCCATGACTAAGATTCTGATAGATATTTTATCCTTCTAACCATATTTCTTCTAATCTAACACTGGTTTCAAAAAACAGAACAACACCCTTCATGGAACTAAAGGGGATAAGAAGCATGGGCAAGGCCAATGAACATGATGCACAGATGTCCTTTTTTCAACACTGTATATTTTCTAAAAATTTAAATGGAAGGTGTCATTCTAAATATTCCCAGTCTCAAACATTGCAGAGCATCAAAGACTGAGACTGACTCATCAGACTCAAAAAAAAATAATGTCAAAATTAGAGCAAAGCCTCCCCTCTGCACACACGTGCACACACACACACTCTTCATGCTATTAAACACTTCTTTAGCATTGTAGGGTTTTATAATTTCTACACCTATACACATACACACACAAACAGTGGATCCATGAATGAGTTTTCAAGTCTACTCTGTGGTACTTAGCTGGTGAGGTGCACTATGTGCAGTCATTTAGAAAACCAGTGCCAGGAGTGACAAGTTAGGTACAATCATATCTTAAAGCAGCAGTTCTTGTCTGTAAATGCCATGATGTTGGGCACCATATGTAAAATACCAGGTGAGCCTTAGAACAGTATTGTTGTTGTCCTGATGTTCTGAGAACACAAAGAGGCTGACAGGAGTCAGAGCAGAATCATTTGGAGCAGTCAGTATAACTGGACCAAACAGAAAACTGTGGGTGCCCAGACATTCTTCTTCAAACATTATCTCAAGACTGATGAGTCTGTACACAGTCCATCTCTGAGGGAGTAAGTTCTGAGTTTCAGAACATTTCCATTTTCATTCCTAAGGGAGCTTTTTATGAGGAGATAAAGCAGAAGATCAGGAAATTAGATCAGACAGCTGATACTATTGAGTGTCTGAGTGTCCACGTGGGAATGTATACTTATTCCTAGGAGAAGGTGTGGCTGAACAGGATGAGTCAAGAATGAGGCAGATGGCAACATCCCATTGGTGAGAAATAGAGGTTGTTTCACTGGGGAAATTAAGCTGAACGTTCAGAGACAGGTCTGCTAAGAGAATAGTCAAGACAATGTAAGTGGCAAAGAGAGAAACGAGCCAAAGTGGGCGTGTGGTTATATGGAAAGCCAGATCCAAAGTGTAGGTCATCCTCAAAGATGTCAGTCAGTTATAGCAAACATATTAGCTTTCAGCCAAGAAGTCTTTGGTGATTCAAGTATGTATGGGACATACCAGGCTTGTATCACTGGAATCAAGCAAATCTGTTTAACACCAGTTATGTCTTTCACAGTGAACGCACAGCATTGCTGAAGGATATGTCATTGAAACTTGGGTGGCAGCATGTGAAACCTGTGGTGCCTGCCCTCTAGCCATGAAGGAGAGCTTTGAAGTCTGTTTGCAGGCATCACAGGAGGGTATCAGCGGTCACACTCTGGAGACTGTGTGTGCTGGGTTTCTGAAGAGAATGCTTTCCCATAAGTCCAGAGATCTCAGATAAAAAGAGGTGTGCCTTCCTTTCTATCCAGTGTATCCCAGGCTAATGGATGCATAGCACATCATTAAATCTGCCCACACAGACCAGCATTCATTCATTAAGACCTTGCCTGCATCCAACAATTTATTTCTAACTATTGGTTCAGTCATGCTGTGAGACAAGTAAACCCTGGAAAAATAAACAAATTGTTCCTTTTCTTCAAAATAAATAAATAAATTGAGGTGGAGGAGTTCATTTGCAGGTAATCCTACCTGCTCTTCAAACTGCCCTTGTGCAGAGCTGGCCAAGCACATTTTATTGTGGCATGCAAGCCATTAGAAACTGTTTTTCAAAGTCTAGGTTTTGCAAGTCAGCTTCATTTTCAGCAAGTGCTTGAAGGACTCAAATGAGAGGTGGTTAGCCCCAGGGAGAAAACTTATGTCCTTCAACTAACCCAAGAGATGCAATGAATTACAGTAGTCCTTTAATATAATTGAATGTGTGGCAGCTATGGCCACATTTCTATATAGTTGCATGAATTTACTTTAGCTCTGTGTGCCATGTGTTATTTAATATGTTTTGAACCAAGTGCTCCAGGGATGATTCTGTATTTAGCTCTTTGACAATAATGAGCAAAATGATGGCTCAGGTGTGTAGAATACTCCACGTCTCATTTTCTTTACAGCCTGGCACAAGTTTTAGAAATGTACTGTTCAGGTTAATGGGGCATTAGTCTGCAGGATGAATAAAGGATCAGATGTACATAATGTTAAAATTTTACCAGACAAAGAACAACAACTTTCATGCAGACAGATGTTTTAAGTGTCTTCTGTATGGCAGAACTTTTTGAGTGAAAAATTCCATTATAGCTTAAAGTCTTTAAAAGATTGTATAAGAATAGTGGAATTCACTTCTTAACCAGATCTATCATTATAAATTAACCATGCTTAGGGAAGTTAAACACCTGTAAGTCCAAAACTGCTTAACTCTAAAATATTATTAAGGAATTATAAGTTAAAATTCCTGTTTTAACAGCTGAATTTTAAGTACTTCAGCAAATATTGCCTTTTCATATTTCCTGTTCTTAATTACACATGACTCAATGGTACTTTATTATGAGACTAAATGCTGAGTGGTATTTCTCAGTGATAAACAAAATACATATCCCCCTTGCTATTGAGGCCAACTTTCTATACTGCTAATTGGATAAATAATTACCTGTTAGAACCCCTTTTCCTTCACCCATTTTTTAAAGTTAAAAAAAAAAAATCAAAGCATTGTGCCTTAATAGAATTGTATAAATCTTAGAGTAAAAACTCATTAACCACAGATAATGAGGATTTTATTGACCCAACATAATAGAGATATAATATTTTTATTATGATTTAGTTGTTTGATTCGATTAGGACATACATGTGGAGTTCCCTGAGAACTACACAGCCTGCATCTCATTACCCTGAGTTAGAATTTAAAATGGAAAAGACTGGAGATATAAAAAATGGACTGGATAAAAATCTACTCATCCTGAATCACCTTAACCTCAACACGACAAAATTTGACTGTTTACTGTGACTGAAACGCAAACATATGGCTGACTTGTCTTGCTAACACATCATAAAGCGAAATCAAGGCCTCATGACCTGTTTTTGTGGATGTATATCCTTTCTCATGTCTCCACCAATCTGGGTGTTATTGTTTCACTACAGGTGGTCTTGTGTTTTTATGAAACAGAAACAAATTAGCTCAAACACAGTTTTATATGCATACAAACTAAAACAGCAGTTAATAATGATGTGAAATCAATTGGAAGTCATAGCTAGGGAAAATGAATTTCTGTTCTAGAGACAGCAGATGATAATTTTAGAAATGAGCTCTGAAAAACAAATCAATTTTAATATAAAACGTGAAAGCAGCCTGGAGTTAGAAAACAAATTAGAAAGCATTTCTGAAGCCTTATTTATGAAGCAGATAGGAAAGAAGTGCTCTGTTTGGGTGACCATAAACATATTTCACAAACATTGACAAAGTCATAAAAGAAATTAATGAGCAAGAGACATATCTGGATGATACATTTTACTGTTGTTTCATGAAACATGAGAGAACCAGCATGACTGCGCTTAAATATGGAGCTGATTTTACATTTGCCATCATGCCAAAAAGATGTCACATCACAGTTTACATGTTACATCAGTCAAAAAGAGCATTCACTTCACATTGTACTTCATAAGTCACTGAACGGCACCTAGATCAGGGACATAGCACAGCAGTGGTTAGCACATTGCATGCTCCCCTTCACATTCATTAAAAGTAGAAAGACAAACATTTTTTTTCCCTTTCTTTTGCATATAAAACTAATAGAGAACCATAAGAAAACACCCTGCAGTTATTGTCGTTGAAATTTCACAGCAGTATAGAGATTAACAACTCCTATTTAAAAGAAAAGACATAATCACAGATGCTTAAGTTGCTTATAATGTCCTATCATGATGATTTTAATTGTAAGAAGTAAGGCCAGCAGATCAGAATCCTGAAACCAAATTATATTTTTTCCAGGACAAAAATCAGAGACTTCAGCCTAGTGAATCACAAATATTGCTACATGCTTTGTCTGTCTTGCATGACTGAATTTTTAATGAAAACATTCAGAATTGAAATCTGGTCATAGAGGGCTGTTAGTGTTTGGATGGGAGGTGTGATTTCATTTGACCCAAAGATGCTACAGATATATACACCTCTGCCTTCCTGACGAAGGATTAGTGATCATGTGGGATGTATGGAAGTTTTATTGCCTTGGTTCAGAATAAAGTTCAAGCAAGAATTCAGATGTAGAACATGACACAGGACTCCTTTGTAAAGGATTTTGAAGTACACAGGCTGAAGTTATACAAGCTAAATATTCAAAGTGTTGTGGCATACTAAAAAAACCCATCACACAGGGGCACACAGGTTAGTTGAGCCCATTTTGAGAAGTGGACACATGAGTGACTTCAGTTGTTCTTAGCAGAGTTCAGCAAATGACATTATAAATCAAGCAGCATTTTAGATAATCTCAGTGCCCTACTTGGGTCGACGATTTTTTGCCCTTATGTTTTGTACTCATGCTTTTTTTTGCCATCTGCTTACATTTCCAGATTGAAACCTTCTGCTTATTTTATTACGGAAACTATGATGTCATTAGTTTGAGAAGTCAGTGATCTCTGTAGTGCTTAAAGGCATGGTATATAATGGTTTGAGACTAACATCACAAATTAGGAAATATAAATATTTATAGGCACTAAAAATCTCTTGTGTAATAAAAATGTATTTATTTAGAAGAATTATGTCTTGCTGACCACTCAATAGCTCCCTTATAAAAGATTCATGTTGCTTAAACATGTATAATAACACAGAGTACAACTGACAGGGAAAAGTGTCTCCCAGTGAGCACCTGAAAAAAGAAACCTTTTTCTACTACATTGTTTAAACTGTGTAAAATAATTCTAAAGTTTGCCTTGATCACAAGCAGAATCAGGACCTTATCACCCAAGCAGAGGACCTTTTTTACTCATCTGACTTAGGTATGAAGAAAGTCTCTTAGTTCTGAAGTCCTACTTACATGAGGCAATTAGTTAGTGCAGGATCTGCATTTATTTATTTGGTGAAAGAAGCAAAAATGGCACTGCAAAATACCATACAAAGTTAGAACCACTGTGAAGTAATGGCAAACATAACATCAGAGGGAAAGGTATGGGGAAATATACCGAAAGGGGAACATGTGTTAGTGTGATGACTTTAAAAGTATAAACCAGTTAAATGGACATCTGTGCAAAGGTAACAGGAGTAATTCAGCAGATTTCTAGAGAGCAGTGAAGGTTATCAGACAATGACAGAAGACTTCTGCAAAAGATAAGGAATGGGAAACAAGTGCAATTAGTTCTACAGAGATTTTTTTTCACATGGTGTTAATGTAGATTGCAAAGGATTTGGCTCTCGTCTGACATGAGAACAGATCAGTGATCTCAGAGAGTCAGAATACAATGGAATTTAAATTAGGAAATCAAGCTCACAAACATTCATTTCATAGACTTAGTTTTAACAGACCCTTAACAAATGCTGTCGTGTTTTTGGCACTGGTGAATGTGAGTGTTTTGATTCGGGAGGTGGCAATGTCAACATAATCCTCCCAACAATACCCTGGCAATCCACTTCCATCGTGGAATATTGTTCCTCTCCTATCCTTCAACTGTCTGACCAAAGAGTATTTGCTTATTGAAGCAGTTTGATGTCTATGGAAATTAAACACCAAAGCAAAGCTATCAGGTTCTACTTTTTTTTTTTTTTTTTCCTGTGGTCAATCCAGAAGTGCTTGATTTGTACATGAGGAGAAAACCAAGCTTCTCCTCTGTCATTTAAACCTACGTTTTCTTAGAAAAATATGTTAGGAGAAACCCACAGCTCTATAATAATGGAGAAAACCACAGGCAGAAATAGAGCCAAACAGCAATGAAAGACTTCATGAAGGACAAGAAACGACCAGAAACTAAGTAGGAAATGTTAACTGAAAGACTATTATTTTTGTATTTGTCTATACAGAAATGCTCTCAGATTTTATAAAAATGCTACTTTCAGTTACTATTTTCTTACCTAGACAATACACTATACAAATCTTTATAACAATTAATTACTTACTTTCTGGATACTTGTATCCTCAGTAAGGTACCTGAGCCTCAGATCAGAGCTCTCTCTCAACAGTTTTACAGTCATAGCATGCTTATTAAGGAGACCTTGTTTTTCCAAGCAATCACCTTAGAAGCTTCACTACAAGAAAAGAATGTGCAAGAAGACTTGGTAAGATTAGTGTGCACAAGCAATGCCATGCATTAGGTATGCAGCAGAAGAAATTCAATTCGCATCTCTTGTGTGAGACAAACTGTGACAAGAATGAAAATCCAGCCTCCATTTACAGTCCTTATGTACTCACTGCAGGTCTCACTGGTAATCGGGTGCATTGTAGGTCTTGAAACTCCACTGGTGTGATCTAAGCTCCTATGTGAAATGGCAGCAGACAACTGTGCCTGCATGTGAGGCTAAATTAATGTATAATGGTTAGTGGATTTGTCCCTGTGTGTTTTCCATCTGAATCTATTCCCAGTTATATATTTCTTACACACCAATCATCTTTTTTTTTTTTTTTTAATGTTTCAGAACACTTAATGACCATGTAAATACAAACAAATTAAAAGGTAAATTCTGCTACATACCCTTCTGCCCTCCACACAGCGCTGGAGCTCAGGCTTGGCTAGCACGGAGTATTGGCAGCCGTGGGGCTGCCACGTTATTTCTCTCCAGTCACAGGTCCTGTTGTCAGAACAGCTGAGGCAAGGGACAATCCACTGCCCTGGAAAACAGCAATGGGATGTCAGCACCACCTCTGCATTTTTGTGAGTAGCTTTATCACAGAACAATCAAGATATTTTTGGTTGGCTTTTTTTTCATGGGAGTTTTCCCTAGATTAAATGCCCTCCAAACCCTTTGAAGGGACTCTTCCCTTCCTCTGCATCATGCCCTTATCCTTTAGCTAGAGTGGGAGTTTTTCCTTTCCCTGAAAGGGCTGCAAATGCTCAAATATGACAATTATTTGTGGGCTCATTTCTTAATTTCTGTTGCTTTTCTCACAGCAGGTTGTCCTTTCTCCACAGAAGAAATATGAGAAAGGGGAAGGGTGTGAGCTATCTGAATGCAAAAAGAAAATGTTCACATTCAGAAATGTCTAAAAATGAGATTCATTCTCATCTACAACTACACACCTAAGAGTTGGGTGGCTGGTTGAAGCTAGTCTTTGAGAGCCCCTTGGTAGAAAAATGAAGCAAGAGAGAGGATGACTTTCCTTTGAAAAATACTGATTTCTTTAATTTGTGAGAATTCAAAGGACTGTTCCAGACTATGCATATAAATTTCAGAAGGTAAAAGTAAAGTGAGACGAATAACCCATGTGTGGTTATTCATTCAGGCTCTATGTTGAGCCTGATGTCTATTTTCAAAAATGATTTTTCAGGCTAGGAACATAAGAAGGGATTACCAAAAGTCAGTGGATTTTATGCATCTCTTACCTAAATTTGAATGTTTTTATTATTTTGGTTTTCTAAAGCTATTCATTTGCAAAATCCTACTGGAATTCTGAGAGATTTAACCTCTGAAGGAAGACAGGAAACATTTGAGTTGCCTTTATATTCAGTTTAACACAAGAAACACTTTTTTCTAGCCCATAAAAGTGCACCATCCTGATAATATTTCCCAATGTCTATGCAGGTCTGCCAGCAAAACCTGCTTTTGCTCTGATTAAAGCCATTACACAAGGAAGAGCACAGAGGCTCCCAGGTCCTTGTCTGAATGCTATCAGACCTCCTTAGCACAACTGGGTGCCTTGCTGCAGCTCAGTGGATGGCTCCAAAAGCAAATGTCTGCAGAGCAGACCTTGCCTTAGAGTTTGTGACCATCACTGCTACTAGCCAGTAGCTCAGCTGCCAGCTTTGTGTGCTTGGCAGTGTGTGATAGATTGCTGTGGCAGAGAAGTCACAGCAAAAAGCCAAGGCTGCTCTCTGTGGACATTTATCAGGCCAAGGACTGAGTGGGAGGCTGAGTGAAGCAACCCTGCAGGATCCCATGGCCTTGGGAGAATCAGCTGCTACCACAGGAGCATGGGAATTTCCAGGGAGGCAGCCTGTGCTTGCATTGAGCAAAAGTCCCAAGCAAATGTTTTGGTAAGTGGCAGGATGAGTTGTCTCAGCAGATAAAGAAGTCCTTCTCTATAAAAGCATCAAGAATTGTTTGTATGGGAGCTCATACTGGAACATCTAAGGACAGAATATATCCCACAGTGCTATGACCATGTAGCTCCAGCTGCTCTCTAACCTGCACAGCTGCCACTACTTCTGCCCAGTGCAGAACACGCTCACATCACCCTCAGCCACACTGCCAGATGGTGTGGAGCAAATAATGGCAAACTAAACCTGAACAAAAGCCCCGACACTGACTTTGCCATGGTGTGGGGCAGTGGTTCTGATGGGTGTGGGTGCTTCCTGAAGGCTGCCACTGGGCAAGTAGCCAAGTTCAGCATGGAGGAAGGGGGATGAGGAGGACCTTGGTGGTAGGGTGCAAGCAGAGAAACAGAGCTGCCCAGTGCACCTTGCTCAGAGGATTTTCAAATTTGTATTTTCTGTGCCTTAATCACCTAGCTGTTTGTCCTTAAGGACACCATTCCCCACTCTTCTTACCAGCTGAGGACCACTTTAAAGTTCAAAATTCTTTAGGACAGGAAAACCATGTGATTGCAGGCTGATAATTTTTTCAGGAGAAGAGAGACCTAAATGTTGGACCCTGGGCAAGATCCTATGTAGGCCTTTTATCTAGGGGTTAAAGTGAATCTTTATTTAAAGGTACAAAGTGTATAACCAGGTGCTGGATCAGGGAGTGCTCTTCCAGTGGAATATCCTGCTCAGCTGGGAAACTGAGGGCTGAATTTAGACAATTCCTCTTTCTTACAGACTCCAGAGCTGGCTGTTGTGAATCCCTTTTTCAAGCTGGACTTCCCTTGTTTTTGAGGTCCTTTGCTCCAGGTTGTGACCTCCTGGCCACCACCGGAACCAGGCATGCTTTGATCCTGCATATCTCCCTCTTCACCCCCTTTGCAATCCATGGCTAAAGGGACATGCCCAGCTTCACAGCAGTGGCATGTCTCAGATAACACAGCCATAGGTGCTGTGCAAGCACCTTTTACTGCTTCGTGCCTTCTGGGCATCAGAGCAGGGCCAGAATGGTTAGCTGGTTTGAGGTCTGGACTCAGAGACTACCACTGCTATAGATTTCTTCACAAACGATTTGAAAGTTGGTTTGGCCAGTGGTTTATATTTAAAAATTATATAAAAACTGGGTAGTTGTTTTCCTGACATTGTAATTTTTCTTTCAAACCAAATACATAAAAGCTCTGGCAATGTTTATAACATCTGAGATCCCTCATTTTATGGAATTTTCTTCTTAATGTTGTATACATTTACGAGTTGATTTGGTTCTAGGTAATAAACTAGAAAAGTAGAACTATATAAAATGAATATTGAGGAGCTGACACATCTGAACAATAAAAATTTAAACTTTGGCAACTGAAAGTGCTAAGCGTCATTTGAAAATATTCTTTCAAATAGTTTGCTTTATATTCAATATCTCTCTAGATACATTAAGACAAAAATAGATCCACTTCTGGCATAAGCCAAAGGTTAGTGGCAAATTAGAGAATAAGAATATATGGAGATAAGTTCATATTTATAGGAAGCACCGACATTTAATGGCAACAGAATAGTTTCAATTTTTATATTTGCGTAGCTTTTTAAATTATGCATTTAAATTTATGCATTTTCAATCCAATTATTAAGAACTTTTCCTATTGTAACATCACAAATTAGCCATTGCACACTTAACCTTCAAAAACAGGACTGTGTTAAAAGATAAAATTAATTTCATCTATAATAGAAGACAACAGTTAACAGTGAAAAATTGCAAACAATCAACATTAGTTTGGCAGTCAAGCTTATTTTCTATTGCAATTATAAATTGTTTTTTAATCTGTTTATATAAGGTTGCAGCACACAATGCAGCTTTCAGCACCATTTCAGTCAGCCTCCTTTTTGTGGTGCTTCAGCTAAAAAAGATAGCACTGGCTTTACTAGGCAAGGGGAAGATTACCTACCACTCAATGAAAGAGGGCAGAAAAGAGTTAGTGCTGTTACTTTATTCACAAATTAAAAACTGGTAAAACAAAAGTTTTATGAAAGCATGGAAATAGAAATTTTCCACAGAAAGGGTGAAAGCGAACTAGGTTTTTGGCTTATTAGAGTAGCTTTTCAGTTGCATACATAAATCTTCTACTTAAGATATGAGATTAAACGCTGCCAGTAGTCCCAAAAACTGGTCTCCTAAAATGGCATGAGAAGAAATAATTTTTTTAAAAAAAATTTGTTGTGAGTGTTTGCCATAAATTTTAAAAATGTTAGTCTAAACTTAAAAGTTTTAACCTGTAAAGGCTGTTCACATAATTAGCTTTGTTTCTTCTTTCAGCATCTTTTATTCAACCTTTCCACTGTCATAGACACAAATACCCATATTTTGCTTTCAAGATCAAAATCTAAATTTTTCTATAGTGCCCAGAAATTATCCATATAAAAAGAAAAAGAAATACTAAACAGATAGCTCAAAAGCTGTTCACTTAATTAGTTTTGTTTCTTCTTTCAGCATCTTTTACTTTTATTCAAGCTTTCCACTGTCATAGACACAAATACCCATATTTTGCTTTCAAGATCAAAATCTAAATTTTTCTATAGTGCCCAGAAATTATCCATATAAAAAGAAAAAAAAAATACTAAACAGATAGCTCAAAATTTAAATATTTAACCTAAATGGATGCTAAAAATAGCTTGTTGGTCTATGACTCATTTACTTTTACATATGGTGTCTATTTGGTACCTGAAGACTTTTAAAAAGGTGCTCATTTGGTTGAACAGCAGTTTATGTTGGACCAAAACCCACACAGCTGTTGAATGCAAAGAGAGAGCTTGTACAGAGTTATGCTGAACTGAATATAGTTCTAGAAAGTGTAGAAAGTGGGATGCAACTAAAACATACATGTCACAGAGCGAGGCAGAACGTTGGAAATGAAGCTGTGGTCTCTTACCCATCAGATTTTGTAACTGCAAAACAAGCTCCCACAGGCTGCAGAAGCCTTATTCACCTGCAGGAATTTAGCACAACTTCGGGTTCTCATGGTCTCTATCAACTCTCTCTCTCTCTCTGAGGAGTCAAAAAGATAATGCTTGTTCACTTCTGTATTTTTGACAATACATCAATACTGAACAAAGAGCTGATTTTCCTATGACAGCCTGGTTCACACCCTGTTGAATGAAAGGGGAATTTCTGAAGGAAAAGGGATTTTTGTTTCTATAAAGATCATAATTTAATTCCATGATCTAAACAAGATAGAATGAGAGAAACTTCCCTTGTTGAATTATCCAATTTCTATTTATTGATTTTTTAAAAAGAGAGAAAGAAATGGTGTAAATTAACTGCATATTTGCAAGATTTTGCCAGCATAGACAAATTTTGCTATGAAAGTACCTCAGTATCCCTGCCCAACTACACTGTTCCCTGCCATAAGAACAGTGCATGACCCTGCCTTACTTCTGTGGAAGTTTTCGAGTTTTCTACTGAGAGAAAATGACATCACTTGGCTTCTCTGAAAATTTAACTTATTTGAGTAAAAGAGATGCTGCTGCATTAGTTGGAAATTTGCAATTGCTCTCATATGTTTTAGAAAAACATTCACTGCTGGGATTGGGCTGTCATTTGGTTGCTACAAATTTGGAATGATTTTTCCACAAAAAGCCATGCTTTCAAGCTCCAGCTGGAAGTTGTGACGTACATTAAAACTATACAGCCACTTGTTGCCAGATACTACAAACCCCAGCTCTAGGCTTATTAGACACCTCTTAACAATCTTTGCTTCATAAACAGAAATTATTCTTCCCTGTTTAATATACTTGTCCTTTGAGACTACATCTCCTAAAGTTTGTTTCATTTTAACTGTGTACGTTAGTTACAATAAGGCTATAGAAGATATTTTACATTCAGCTTCATTTCAGAAGTATTTGAAAGAAGCATGTTATATATCAGAAGAAACAGATTGTCTGCCCCTCTAGAAGAACTCTTCTGTGGATTTGGTTTTGGCTTTCCGTCAGGAACTTTCTGTCTTGTTATGGTAGCATAGGATGGGTTGTGCCTCTTTATGATTCTCTACTTGCTGTGTGATTAAAATATGCTGCTGGGTACAACAGCACCTCCTTTGTGCATTCCCTTAATTTAACACAAAATTAATATATGCCTCTGTTTTACATGAAGCAATGGATTCAGGCAGTTCCCACATTCCTTTTATTTTGTATTGATTATCATGAGTTTGTGTACATTCAATGCAGTGAGAAGCTGCACCTATCTATGAGAAGATAAAAAAATACAGTTGTTTTAGTAGATCATACAGGAGCATTGGGTTATTTTTTCACTTGTCTAATAAAGAACTGAACAAAATTACTTATTGTCTAGTCCGCCAACAACTTAAGCAATCGGTAAGAGTGCATACCTCAGTGGTCCTGTGGATTATTCAGATTGGTTAAAGCACACTTGCATAAAACTTTGTGCAGCTATGACCTAAACATGAATGGCTGTCTGACAATTTGTTGTCATCTGGGTTCTCACTAAACCAAAGAGATGTCTTAATTTTATTGATTGTTGTATAATGTTTGATTTGTCCATCTTGTTATTTAAGGTATGGGTATATGTAAAAACACATACTTTATTGTTTGAAACTCTAAACTGGTTTTGTTTGCAATAAAATATGGAAGTATAAAATTCTAATAGATCAAAATATGCTCATTTTCTAAAGCTAATTCTGAGTAGATAATTCCTTCCATTTAGAATAAAGCATTTTTTAAAAATGGTTTTGATAGAAACCAATGGCTTTTGAAGGCTACATGACAGTAACACAAGCAGTGGTAGATTGTTGATTAGAAACTCATTAAAGAAAAAAGCTGGCACATAAACTAATTAACCTGATTTTTAAAATCTGTAACTATTATAAGTGATTAATTAAATTTACTGTATGTAGGTTAGTGTATGTCCATAGAAAAGAGGAAACCCTGTTTCTAGTTTTACTTTGATGAGGTGCATGAGGTAATTTCAGAAGGAAGCAGATTAGGTACAAACCTTTCATGTCTCCAGCTTCACAGGTCTTAGTCACCGTCTCTGAAATTGCTGAGAGGTATTCATGAGACAGAGGCTGCAAACCACAGGACTCCTCTGGACGAATTCGAGAGCCACAATCCTGAATTAAAATAAAATTTGTGAAAATGGCAGTACTGCACCTATCCATATGACTTTGAAATAATTTTCAAGGACATCTAAAGAGGAAAAAAGTTATTTGGGGTTGGTTCCACAGTTCATTCATCCTTCAATATATATATTTAATATGAAATTTAGAATCCTTTTTTCCATTCAGGCAATGCTTGTATAATAAATTATCCCAATCCACAGCAAAGGTATGAAATAGTACATTTGCTAGAGATATAAGAAAATTTATTAAGGCAAACATATATAACATTCATGTATGTCACGTTGTCTCTACTTACTGTACAATCTCTGCCTATAGCACCCAGCAACTTTGTATGCATATCTGCAGCCATACAGAATACATTTCTGTGATTAAATGCCCTCAGTGAAAGAGAACAGAAAAATTTCAAGGGGAAATGTTTGAGTTAGTAGAGCAGTTACAAAAACTTATTAGGTGTACTGAAGGAAAGGATTTAATGTAAATATAAATACAATCTTCTTGTGGGTCTTCATGTGAGATGTGATCCGTAGTAAACCTCAGACACCAATGCAATGTAAATAATGGACATTTTACATTTTAAAAAAATAACCTTTCAATCAATTTTCTTCATAGAAAAGAATCTGACCTTTTTTTTTTTTCACATTCTAGTTAAAGAAGAGCTCACTAAGACCCACAATCAACATGGAAATATTTTATCTATCTTTATGCTTGGATACAGAAATATGGACTGGTTATTAAATCAAGAGAACGTAGTAAAGAACTAGAGACTGCTAATGCAATGGCATACACTGAAAATACACTTCATAAGGAGATGAGTTGCTCACATTTCGATGATTTCCCATAAATTTTATAGGCATTAGCAGAAATGTATATGAGAATTAATTAATGACAGATGCCAAAAAATTAACAGTAACAACCTGGAATATCAACCAATCAATTTGAAATTGGCTTTCCTAAAATTCATAAGGGAAAAGTGTTAGAGGCTTTTAGAAATTCTGACTGTTATTCAGTACTGATAGACAGAGGTGCCACCAGCTCTTAAGATTTTCAGACAAAATATCCTAATAAATAGTGATTCCTTACAGTAATTTTTAGCACATGTCGTTTCTTACATTTTAAGTAATGGCTTACATCAACTTTGTACTTTATGGTTTTAATTGATGTAATCTCAAAACAACATTTGTGACATTGGGCAATTCTTTTGATAATTTTTGACAACTACGGTATATATGGCTGCATGAGTTGCTCCTTCTAGTTTTCCTTTATCATTTCTGCAGAGAAATTGCAGTCCTAGGATACATTTTTCATCTGTTTTACATGATGACTCCAGGAAAAATTAATCACATTCTAAAAAAGCTTCTCCCTCAGCTGCAGTAAGAGTTTTGAACAATTCAGAGGTATATACCTAAATTAGTTCAGCTGAATCTCTCTCCAAATTACTTTGTAAAAATAATCATCTTCCATACTGCATTGCCCAAATTGGTGCTATTGCCACTTTTTTTCAGCAGG